TTTTTTTTTTCTTTTTCTCCTTGTAGCTGGAAATCAGCTCAGACAATTTGCGGGCTATATATATATATTTTTTTTTAATAATTACAGTCTCGCTGGAGAACTCCGGTCTGACGCACGCGGGTTCTCGCGTTATTTCCTTATCACTTCTCGCGTGTGTTTTGTTGTGAAACGTAGTTTGCGGACCAGACAGAGCTGTCGGCGATTCTTCCTATTGTTAAGTCATGCAGTGTGAAACCCCCTGTCGCGGATCCATCGTGCAATGTGAACACAGCAGCAACTGAATGCTACCCCAGATAGTCACGCAGTGTGAAAACCACGGCGATCCGACGAGTTTGAAAATCGTGCAGCGTGAACTCGTCATTAGCCTTCTCAAATCATCACGACTTGACTAAAATAAAATCTATAGATATAAAACAGTTCAAGCATATCACAATGTTAGTTTAAAGGTTTAACCTAGATAAATGTTCGCTGTTAGACGCCAGCGCGATCACTTGCATTTTTTTCTAAAAGTGGAAACAACTTAAAATACAGTCATTTTTGCTCATAAAGGTAAGAGTAATACATCATTCGGAACTGTAAAGGGTCTACTTTTAATACAATATCAACAAAACGTTGTGCTTTTGTAAAATAAATAGGAAAACCGAGGATGCGCTTTCTGCCGTCTCGGTCTTGAACAGGAGCGCTTCACAATAATGAACCGAAACTCATTAAAACGAAATAATTCACATCGAAAATAGAAACTCTTTCATTATGTAAAAAAATATATATTATAAATTTGTGAAGATTTCAAACAAACTACTTTCACGTTGTCATTATGGGGTATTGTTTGTAGAATTTTGAGGAAAATTATCAATTTAATTCATTTTGGAATAAGGCTGTAACATAACAAAATGTGGAAAAAGTGAAGCGCTGTGAATACTTTCCAGATGCACTGTACAGTACAGATGTTATTGTAACTCGATATGCCATGGTACTGAATTTTTATCATAATATTTACATGCACACTGATAGGTGTGGTTAAACATACTAATATTACGATATAGTGCCCTCATTTTTTTCAACATTGTGTGATATTATTTTTATGACTCACACACACAAAAACGGGTTTAATTATATTTAACTGTAACATACTAATATGTGACTCTGCAGCACAAAAGCAGTGTTAAGTCGCTGGGGTATATTTGTAGCAATAGCCAACAATACATTGTATGGGTCAAAATTATACATTTTTCTTTTATACCAAAAATCATTAGGATATTAAGTAAAGATCATGTTCCATGAAGATATTTTGTAAATGTCCTACCGTAAATATATAAAAACTTAATTTTTGATTAGTAATATGCATTGCTAAGAACTTCATTTGGACAACTTTAAAGATGATTTTCTCAATATTTAGATTTTTTTTTTGCACCCTCAGATTCCAGATTTTCAAATAGTTGTATCTCAGCCAAATATTGTCCGATCTAACAAACCATACATCAATGGAAAGATTCTTTATTCAGCTTTCAGATGATGCATAAATCTCAATTTTGGAAAAATTGACACTTAAGACTGGTTTTGTGGTCCAGGGTCACATATTATGATATATTGCCCTAAATACAGTGGATATTATTTACAAATTATATTTACTAAATAACACAGTAGATATTTACATGCAAATTGATAGGTGTGGAAAACATGCTAATATTATGATATATTGCCCTAAATGTCAAAAACAGTACAAAAAGTAACAGAAAATACCAAAGTATTACCATGTAATAAAAATGTTATAGCATTACCTAGTTACATGTCTAAAAACATGCCATGTTTGTTAGTGGTGTATCTGCCTGTTTGTTCTGCATATATTTACAGTAGATTAATATTAGTACACTGGTGTTTCTCTTTTGAGAAGTTTCAAACCTACAGCCTTTCAGTAACCAGCCTGGTTAATTTTTTTTTTCTTATGTTTAAAATATTAGTAATCTTTTCTGTGTTTTTGTTAGGAAACATCTGCAATGTCATTTATATTTGACTGGATCTACAGAGGCTTCAGTGGAGTGCTGCAGTTTTTAGGTGAGTTCAGATGAAGTTCACATACATTTGACTGATTTATGAGATTTAATCACTCCAATATTATTCTAACATGGAAAATAGTCAGAAAAAAAGAACAAGTAGATATGACGACCGTGAAAAGGTTTTTGCCCCTTTAATTTTTTGCATATTTGTCACACTTAAAAGATTCAGATCATCAAACTAATTTTAATATTACACAAAGATAATGCAAGTAAACACAAAATGCAGTTTTGAAATGATGATTTCATTTATTAAGGGAAAAAAAGCTGTCCAAACCTGCCTGCCCCTACGTGAAAAATTCATTGCCCCCTAAATCTAATAACTGGTTGTGCCACACTTTGCAGCAAAAACTGCAATCAAGCGTTTGTGATAAATAGCAATGAGTCTTTCACATCGCTGCACAGGAATTTTGGCCCACTCTTCTTTGCAGAATTGTTTTCATTCAGCCACATTGGAGGGTTTTTGAGCATGAATGGACTGTTTAAGGTCATGCCACAGCATCTCAATCGGATTTAAGTCCGGACTTTGACTTCGCCGCTCCAAAACCTTAATTTAGTTTTTCTTGCTGGTGTGTTTGGGATCATTGTCCTGCTGCATAAACCAAGTGCGCTTGAGCTTGAGGTCACAAACTGACGGCCGGACATTCTCCTTCAGGATTTTCTGATAGAGAGCAGAATTCATGCTTCCATTAATTATGGCAAGTCATCCAGGTCCTGAAGCTGCAAAGCAGCCCCAGACCATCACACTACCACCACCATGCTTGACTGTTGCTGTGATGTTCTTTTTATGAAATGCTGTGTTGGTTTTACGCCAGATGTAACGGGACACACACCTTCCAAAAAGTTCAACTTTTGTCTCATCAGTCCACAGAATATTTGCCCAAAAGTCTTGGGAATAAACAAGATATTTTTTGGCAAATTTTTCCCTTAATAAATGAAATCATCATTTAAAAACTGCATTTTGTATTTACTTGCATTATCTTTGTGTAATATTAAAATTAGTTTGATCTGAATCTTTTAAGTGTGACAAATATGCAAAAAAAAAAAAAACAGGAAGGGGGCAAAAACCTTGTCATGGCACTGTATATATATATATATCATATACATTTTGTGGTTGTTTCTTGCAGGTTTGTATAAGAAGTCTGGAAAGCTGGTTTTTCTTGGGCTGGATAATGCTGGGAAGACGACTCTACTGCACATGCTCAAAGACGACAGATTAGGACAACATGTGCCCACATTACACCCCAGTAAGACTCGATTACTACAATTAAAACACAATAGAGCTGTGAGGTGAATAATTCCCATCAGGCATTGCTCAGGGCTGATTGTGTTTCTCTCAGCGTCAGAGGAGCTGACCATCGCAGGAATGACTTTCACTACGTTTGATCTGGGTGGTCATGTACAAGGTCAGAACTATCATTTCAATATCAGTCCTGTAGTTTAATTCATTTGTTTTCCCATATATGAGACCCTGCAGCACAAAAGCAGTCATAAGTCGCTGGGGTATATTTGTAGCAATAGCCAACAATACATTGTATGGGTCAAAATTATACATTTTTCTTTTATGCCAAAAATCATTAGGATATTAAGTAAAGATCATGTTCCATGAAGATATTTTGTAAATCTCCTACCGTAAATATATCAAAACTTAATTTTTGATTAGTAATATGCATGGCTAAGAACTTCATTTGGACAACTTTAAAGATGATTTTCTCAATATTTTGATTTTTTTGCACCCTCAGATTCCAGATTTTCAAATATTGTCCTATCCTAACAAACCATACATCAATGGAAAGATTATTTATTCAGCTTTCAGATGATGCATAAATCTCAATTTCCAAAAATGGACACTTAAGACTGGTTTTGTGCTACAGGGTCACATATGATCAATTTTTAATAATCTACTCGCCTCATGTCAGACATGTATACACGGTTAAATTTCTGTAGAAAACAAAGAAGAAATTATTTTAATCTTTAAGTTTTGTCCTTGTTTATGTTGTTCTTCATCTGCAGCACGGAGAGTGTGGAAGAACTACCTTCCTGCGGTCAACGGCGTGGTTTTCCTGGTGGATTGTGCGGATCACGAGCGTCTGGCAGAATCAAAGCTGGAGCTGGATGTAAGTGTGCGCTGCTTCAGCCGATCGCAGGCAGACGCTCCTCTCTCTCTGAGCTCATCTCTGTGTTTTCAGGCTCTGCTGTCAGACGAGACCATCTCCAGCGTTCCCGTGCTGGTTTTGGGGAATAAGATCGACCGTCCGGAGGCCGTGAGCGAGATCAGACTGCGAGAGGTGTTCGCTCTGGACGGACAGAACACTGGGAAGGTCAGCGCCAGCCAATCACAGACACACGACCAGTCAAACGTTTTTGAACAGTTAGATTTTTTATGTTTTTAAAGAAGTCTCTTCTGTTCACCAAGCCTGCATTTATTAAGATTTTTAATGGTTTTTAAAGAAGTCTCTTCTGTTCACCAAGCCTGCATTTATTTGATCCAAAGTACAGCAAAAACAGTAAAAATTTGAAATGTTTTTACTATTTAAAATAACCGTTTTCTGTTTGAATATCTGTTAAACTGTAATTTATTTCTGTGATGCGCAGCTGTATTTTCAGCATCATTACTGCAGTCTTCAGTGTCACATGATCTTCAGAAATCATTCTAATATGCTGATTTGCTGCTCAAGAAACATTTCTGATTATTATTATTATTATTATCAATATTTAAAAGAGTAAATTTTTTCAGGATTCGGGGGGGGGAAGAAATTATAGAAATTAATTATTTTATTTAGCAAGGATGCTTTAAATTGAAAGTGATGATAAAGATATTTATAATGTTACAAAATATTTTTATTTCAGATAAATACTGTTCTTCTGAACTTTCTATTCATCAGAGAAACCTGAAAAATTCTACTCAGCTGTTTTAAACATAATAATAATAATAAATGTTTTTGAGCAGCAAATCAGCATATTATACTGATTTCTGAAGATCACGTGACACTGAAGACTGGAGTTATGATGCTGAAAATACAGCTGCGCATCACAGAAGTAAATTACAGTTTAACAGATATTCACATAGAAAACAGTTATTTTAAATAGTAAAAATATTTCAAGTTTTTGCTGTACTTTGGATCAAATAAATGCAGGCTTGGTGAACAGAAGAGACTTCTTTAATAAACATCAAAAATCTCACTGTTCAAACACTTTTGACTGGTCGTGTATATGAAACACTAATGATGATTTGTCAGTAAGCATGATAACATGTTTGTATGTAGCTGAACACAGTTTGGAGTGACTGGTGTTGTGTCTGCAGGGAAGCGTGTCGCTGAAGGAGCTGAACCTGCGGCCGCTGGAGGTCTTCATGTGCAGCGTCTTGAAGAAGCAGGGTTACGGCGAAGGTTTCCGCTGGCTCTCGCAGTACATCGACTGATTTCAGCCGCTCTGGCCTGATTTGATTTTATTATCAGCAATAAGTATGGAACGCGGATTAAAATAAAAAAAATAAAAAAAAAAGTCATTGTGACTTTCTATCTTACAATTCAGACTTTTTTTCACAAATTAAAGAAAAATTCAGAACTGTGAGATATAGTCAGAACTGCGAGAAGTCATAATTCTATGTTTCTAAAGTCGCAATTTTGACATTTTTCTCTGACTTCAAAGTTGTTGTTTTTTCTTAAAATTGTGAGGAAAGTATGCATTGTGAGATCTCGCAATTCTGACATTTGTTCTTGCGATTTCTGGTTTATATCTTAGAATTCTGACTTTTTTCCTCACGAAGAAGAAAAGAAGAAAGAAAAGTCAGAATTGCTAGAAAAAGTCAGAATTCTGAGTTTATATCTCACAATTTTGACACTTTTTTTCCTCAGAGTAATAAGGTTACATCTTGCAGTTCTGTCCCCCACCCCACAATGAAATAAACAATAAAAACTTTTTCTCACATTATGGACCTGTTTTCTCATAATTGTGAGGAAAAGCCAGAACTGCGAGAAAATGTATATTTTTATTTATATAAAATCTAAATTCAGAATTGCTAGAAAAAAAGTACGAATTCTGAGATAAAAAGTCACAGTTCCTTTTGAATTTTTTATCCTGTGGCAGAAACCAGCTTCTATAAATGACAGCTGTTGATTTGATCATTTTGTGTATTTGAGTGGATAGTTTATTGATTGGTTTTGTCGCTTTAGTCCCATCTGTTCTGCATGTGCGCAATTGACACACTGCAGCTTTAAATGCAGAAGATATTGTATTAAAGGCCTGCGAGCCTGGAGTCGAGCCATTGCTTTTTAAATAATGATCAAAGTACAAGCACATGTGATTTTTCAGTTCCTGCAGCTTCTGAATAATATTAAGACCACATTTGAGCGGGGAGTTTTTACTTGAGTGTTGTAGTATTATTTAGCATCGTCCTGCATTCTAAAGAGCTGATGTGTTTGAGATGTACAGTATGCTGTAATGTATAATCTACTGTACAGTGTTTGTGTAGATAATGTCATCAGATGCCGTCGGTGTTTGTTGATCATCAGGTGAAGCGTTGGCTCGTCTGATACGAGAGCACCTACGGCACAGATCTGATCATTTTTTGCAAGTGTGTAAATATTGTATAATGAAGTATAAATGTGTTTTTATTGTTCATAGCCTTGACTTGAGTGTACAGGAATCCATCATAACGGACTGTAAACATCTATAAACTATAACTATTTTGAAGAATGTTTCTACTGTTGTTATTTAATATCTTGATTTTCAAGTTCAGAAAGCTAGTAAGCATTTTAAAACTGATCATTCACTCTTTAGTCGTCTGAACACACTGGAAGGCATACTTTATCATGCATGCAACACATCTTTCACCTACCTTTCACCTCACTGGACCAGGATGCAATGAAAACTAGAACAGGAAATTAAAGGAATAATTCACCCAAAAATGAAAATTGGCAGAAAATTCACTCACTCTTTAGCCGGGAGCTCTGTTTTGAAGTTAAAGCATCTTAATGCTGGATGTGTTTCAGCTTTTGTCTTCTCCAGATGTTAACTGGTGGACTGGAGTGCTGTGGATTATTGTGATGTTTTTATTGTGACTCTCATTCTGACGGCACCCATTCACTGCAGAGCAAGTGATGCAATGCTACATTTCTCCAAATCTGATGAAGAAACAAACTCATCCTGATCTTGAATGGCCTAGAAATGAGTACATATTCAGCAAATATTCAATTTATTTGAATAAGAAAAAAATGAAACCAATCACAATACAGTTAAGTACTGACTGGATAAACTAGTAGAAGATAAACCTGTAAATCAGAGATATTCTACAAGTATGATAAAAAGCATCCTAACAGTAATTAATATGACTCGCGCACACCAACACATGAGATCTGAGAGCTAGATTTCAGTATATTGTCAGTAAATTCATATGCAATACTGTTATGACACTTAACGGCACGATTTTTGGAGCTTGACAGACGTGTGAACTGTCGTTGCATAGAAAGCCCTTTATGTTTTACTTAAGAAATAATCATATGGGTTTGGAACCACAGAATTTTTGTTTACACTTTATTTTAAGGTGTCCTTGTTACAGTGTAATTATACATTTAAGTACTGAGTCATTTTAATTAACTACATGTACTTACTATATGGTTAGGGTTAGGATTAGAGTTTGGATTAGTGTTACTTGCATGTAATTATGCATAAAGTATTGTTATTATAATAGGAAGTACATTTAACCAGTGTAACAAAAATAAAGTGTAACCAAATTTTTTAACACCTTAATTAACAGTGTCCTTGTTACATGTACTTAAAGTAATAACAGTAATTTACTATAATTACATCATGCAACTAACCCTAAATCTATAGTAAGTACATGCTAATTAATATTATCCAGTAGTCAGTTGTATAATTAAACTGTAACAAAGACACCTTAAAATCAAGTGTAACCCAGAATTCTATTGATTGTCCAAAATATTCCTTTAAATTGTTAGTTAAACCTCAGTCACCTTCAGTTCCACTGCAGAACAGCAGGAGGCAGCAGTGACTTCAGATCTCAGATAAAGAGTGCATGCATGCTCACATTGGCTATAAATGCTGTTTGAGCCTCAGGGGGTTATTAATAAAACTGTTTGAATTTGTAAACTGGTTAAAGCACACAACTGCACATGTGAAGAGTGTGTGAGAGTCTGAAACACTTGCATCATCACCGCTGCATGATGCTGAAAGCATTCTGGTTTCTTCAGCCTGATTTTCCCTTTTCACCCTCAGGATTTAACAAATAAAACAAACTACTACACTGCAGCTCAAACAGCAACACCAAGGTCATGGGTTCGATTCCTAGGGAATGCATGAGCAAAAGTGTATGCTATTTGAATGCATGAAATAAAATCAATATACACCTTCACAATAATGCAAGTGGCTTTGGATAAAAGCATTTGCCAAATGCATGAATTGTAAATGCACACTATTCCTGCAGTATATAGCATCTATACTGCACAGCAGTGATATTTCAGTATCACTTATATATACTATTATAGTTTTTATTAATATTTTGAATTTTCTTTTTGTTTATTTTTAAACTTTGTTTTTACTTTAGTTTTAAAGTTGTAATAATTTAGTAACTATTATAGTTTGTATTAATATTTTGATATAGTTTTTTCTTAATACTTTGTTCACATTTAGTTTAAGTTGTAGTAATTCACCAATTCGTATTATTATTTTTTTATTAATTTAGTAATTAACATAGTTTTTTAATAATAGTAATTTATTAACTATTAGTTTTTATTTATATTCTGAATTAATATTTATGGTTTTTATTTTAGTTAAAGTTGTACATTTTGTAGTAACTCTTAGCATTTTTATTAATTTAGCCAGTAATAGTAATTTAATAACTGTTATCGTTTTTATTCATATTTTGAACTACCGTAATTTGTATTTTTATACTTTGTTTTTATTTTAATTTTAGTTAAACATTTCGTAATTTTGCTTTTAGCTTTTTTTTTTTTATGCCTTTACAGTTTTATCTTTAATTAGTTATTTTAGTACATAAAGTTAAACTAAAAAATGAGAAAAGTCATCTTAGCAAGTAAATTAAGTTTTTTTTAAAATATTTATTTAAGTTATGGTTTATTGCATTTCAAGCAAATAAAATTGTTTATGGTTTTAGTATTAGTTATAATAATAACAACCCTGTTGCGTATGCAAATTACTGTATGCATAGATCTTTACGACATTTGGGAAACTGCAGCATACCGCTGGAATACAGTATCCCACAATGCACTGCACTCAGCTCCTTCCGTTTCCAGTGCGATGAATGAAACAGAAGTAATATCACATTCAAACTCATTCTGAATAACATTTTTTGATGCATTTATGAGCATGAATGATCTGACTCTCATGCTGTTTGATATCACAGCAGTGTTTTCACTGACTCTGAGGCTGTATATTAATTTAGCGCTGCCAGATATTGATTCTCAGACGCATCGTGAGACATTTCTCCTCTGGAGTTTCTTCAGATGTAGAGAACATCAAATGCATCCTTACACACGAACACACAGCTGATTGTGTATCAGAGAGAGACGCTTCAGTTATTTACAACATTTTATTTCACAGATTTCGAGGAGCCGAGCTTCTCAACATCACGCGTTGACTGCTATTTTACAGAGAAAGAGCCAATAAAAGAGCTTTCTGCTGTGAACGATCATGCAATATGAAAAATAAATCAATAACTCATAACCTTTCATGTTTTGTTTTAGAAAAAATGACCTTTGAGGTCCCACACAGGCTTCAGTTAACAGAAACTGGAGTCAGTTCGGATTCAGAGACTGAGACGAGTGTGAAATCAAAGTATTTCAGGCATCAGTCCTCATAATTAAGTTAATTACATTTCAGTAATTTGACTGGACAGGTGCTGTTTAAAGAGCTCGGATGGATCGCTCCATGTCTGTGTTTGCTACATTGATTCTTTTGCAAATATTGTTATCGGCAGAGCAATATGGAGCTAAAATAGTCTCAAAATGAATGCATTCACCAAATATGATTCACAAACGCGTACGGTTTCACATTCACAAAAAAAAGCCATTTCGTTATTCATAATCTTATTTTGTGGATGTAAATTTTATTGTGCATGTGCAAATCATATTTTGCGAACATGTAAGAAAAGACAAACTAGGTTTTGAATTTAAAAATCTTTGTGCATTTGCAAATCATATTTTGTGAATATGAAAGGTTATGAGTTTGTCTTTTTCTGTTTGCCATTATACACTTAATAAATAATACATAATAAATACATACTTATAAATTAGAAGTATATGCAAATTTATATTTATAATAAACACACTTATATAAATGCTTCACATATAAATTATAAATGTATACTTATAATAATAAACTTAAATGCAAGCAAATTCACAAATTCGTCAATCTGTTGATGCAGAAACTTTCAGAAAGGCGCAAACATACTTTTGTATTTAAGAATTAGGTTTTGCATTTAGTGAATTTCAATTTTGCGATGCATATTTCCTAAATATAAATTAGGTGTGAGTTTGTCAGTTTATGTTTGCAAATATATACAGTATCTTTGCACATTTCTGCAAGCAAATTCACTTTTTTTTTGTGGATGTAAATTTGTGTATTTGCAAATCATATTTTGTGAATATGAATTAGATTATGAGCTTATCAATTTATGTTTGCAAATATATACTTGTAATAAATACATTACTTATAAACACTAATAAACTCAAACTAAAGCTAATTCACATTCACAAAAAGTTGATATATTTACAAAACGATTGATAAATTCATAACCTTATTCATAATCACAAAAAATTTGATTTGCAAATGCAAACAATTCATAAATACAGTATCTTTGCACAATTTTCTATTCAATTCAAGTATATTTGTATAGAGCTTTTCACGATACAAACTGCTGCAAAGCAGCTTTACAGAAAATTAAGTTTCTACAATATATTTAGTAGTATTTTCTACAATTTAACTTTTTTTTAATTTTTTTATTGTGAATTAATTTTGAGACTTTTCTAGCTGCTCCAGAGAGCAAACATCATAAATGTGCATATGAGCATATCTGAAATGTCAGTAACCAGCCTTAATGTAGGGAATATGCATTATGTTTATCATTTTTAGTGCATAAGAGCATAAAAAACATGATTTTTAGAAAGACAGAAGCTGAAACTCATGATTATAGTCGCGTTCACACACATGAAGGTCTGTACAGTGAGTGTAAACCTGATCTCCAGAGGTTTAGAAACCAAGTTCTGTCGCATAAATCCCCTCAAATAAACCGTAATACCCTGTTAATGATGATGCATCAAACTCCAGGCTCTCATGTTTGCCGTGTCGCAGAGTTTGAGTCTTTCTTGCATCTGAATCTTGCATCCGTTAAAGCGATGACAGAAATGAAAAACACTGAAATGCAAACTCAAGCGCTGGTGGAATGCTTCAGGAAGCAGAAGTAAATCCGGTGGTTTTTCGGTGCACCGGACCGCAGACGCTGAAGCTGTTTTACCAGATGTATCCACCGTCGTCAGACTCCTCTTCCTCCTCCTCCTCTTCCTCTGCGTTCTCATCCGCGTCTTTCTCCTCCTCGTCCTCCCAGCCGACGCCACTGCTGAAGTCTCCGGAGCTCAGCAGCTCGTCTACGGCACACAGACACAGAGTTTCAATCACTGCACGATATCTGTGTCCCTGGAGCACAAAAGCAGTGTTAAGTCGCTGGGGTATATTTGTAGCAATAGCCAACAATACATTGTATGGGTCAAAATTATACATTTTTCTTTTATGCCAAAAATCATTAGGATATTAAGTAAAGATCATGTTCCATGAAAATATTTTGTAAATTCCGTACCTACATTTTATTTATGGGCGCCTTACATGACACTCAAGGTCACCTTACATGCAATAAAAAAACAAAACAATTACAAGCATCAATAAAATTCAAACCCACATTCATATCTTTACAGTCAATAGGAATTACATAAAACTATCACCGGTAAGCCTGCCTAAAAAGATGCGTCTTGAAAAGAGATTTGAAAATGGGAGTAACAATTGAGATGTGTAACAGTATATTGGTTCACAGCATGTTCCTGAGGCTTTCTGTGTCTGTGAAAGTTATTCAAACTACAAAACAGAGAAAAATCACTTTTGTAGCTTTAACACAGATTTATTAGATTTAATTTATACAGAGTTGTTTTACATTTGATTATTCAATTTCTGTACCTGTATACTGTTAGACTTACCTGAAAAATACAAAGCACTGTTTATTTCATTTGTATCTTTGTTCTACTATATTTATCTATGTTTGTAATTTGTTTATTTTCTATGCTGATTTACTCACCCACAAAATCATTGATAATTTTTTTCCAAATAGAGCTATTTAAGTCATTTGCTGATTTTTTTTTATATATCGCAATATATTTTGCATAAAAACAAAATATCGCAATGTGAGTTTTTTTGCAATATCGTGCAGCCCCACTGCACGCTCCACTAACAGGAATCCACCGAAGCCGCAGACGGTGGCAAAGACTATAGAAATACAAAGACGGTTCACCCCTATACTTATGAATGGGAGAAACAATATGGCAGAATAGTCCCGCCTTCTAAATGAAAGAGCCAATCGCTGATTGGAAAAGTCATTGCATCACAGCAGCGGCCTTAGAAGCTCCGGTTCCCATAGAAACCTGAGGCTGGTCTAGCCTGAAAAATACGCTTTTTAAATGCTATTTGAGCTTAAGAAACAACATTCATAGGGCAGTTCATTTCAGATTTTGTTGCTGATTTGAAATCTGTAATTTAATTGCGAGTTCATCGAGCAGTTTGAGAGACTTCAGGATTCCCCCATTCATTTAGATAGGACTTGTTCTTGTTTGAGCTGCCCGGAGGCTTTGCAAATATGGCGGCCGAGTGAACGGACTTTCCTTGAAAGGGACTTTGCTGTAATTCATTGCTCATTTCACCATTACTATGACGGTTAAGTTGTAAAGATAGGTGAACAGGCAGTTGGTCATATGTTGATGTGTTCACTCTCACACACACACACACTCACTCTCACACACACACACACGCAAGCACACACGCACACACACACACACACACACACGCGCACACACACACACACAAGCACATACACACACGCAAGCACGCATGCACACACACTCAAAGACACGCATGCACACACACAAGCACACACACGCGCACACAAAGACACGCACACACACGCACGCACACACACACACACACAAATACACATGCACACATGCACACACACAAGCACACACACACGCACGCACGCAAACACACACACACGCACACACACACGCAAGCACGCATGCACACACACAAATACACATGCACACATGCACACACACAAGCACACACACACACACACACACAAAT